CGAGTCATTGGCAGTGGCAACTCGTCGAAAGTCTCCCAAAACCCTTGCACACCCCCAAAGTCCGGTGAGCTGAGGCCCAGTGCTGCCACCTCGGCGAACAGGATTCGCCCGCCCGTGCCGCCAGCCCGGCGGGTTGAAAGCGGCGGTCGCCTTGAGAATCAGCTGGCGGGTCAAAACCCAAATCGGTTAGCCCCCAGGGAACATCCGATTCAATCCAACCACCAGAATAGTTCTAAAATCGGTGGTGCACCGAAAACCCCCAAAATGGTACCATTGGTGTTGACCCATGGCCAGCTGGCAAAAACTTGGGCGTCTTTTGTGGGCCACAGCCTGACAAGTCCCGGCATGTACTCAGGTGAAAAGAATGAAACTCTTGTCATGGGATCTCTCTTTTTCTTCAACGAGTTGCTTCTCAAAATGGCTGTGGGTCAAAACCCTGCACCCCTGGTGAACATCAAAATAGGTGGCAAATGGACGTTCATCCACCCCAAAATGGGATCGCCATAGGTTATGCCCCATGGCCAAATAGGAATCGGCCTCCCAAAATAACAACGGCCTCCTTCTGGTTTCTCGCCGTCGACCGTTTCGGCTTGCGCCGGCCAGGTCTGAACCGCCGGCCAGGAGATGCCTTTCTGTTCTGAGCAATGTGTTCGTTTCTGGTTGAAACTTTTTCCGTTGATTCTGTTTCATGAGGGGCCTACTGAGATATGTCCTTTTGGAACGCTGTGTTGCGTTGCCTCTTTGCCAGATTCTATGTGACCAATGCCAAAAGAGTTCCCTGGGTTGTTCCTCCCGCCCACTGAGCAGTCCAAAGCAACGGAAGCAACCATATGTTTGATGCCTAGCTTGCAAAGTGAGGTCCGCGGAGACGCGTTGTGTCTTTGCTTGTGCTAGTTCATTGGTCTGAGTGTTTCTTGAAAACCAACCCACCAAAGGTCGCGTTTGATTGCAGGCCGCTGGTTTCCACAGTTTCGTTTCCTAACGAAGACCCCCCGGTTCTGAGGCTGTTTCGTTTCCTGACAAAGACCCCCCGGTTCTGAGGCTCTTTCGTTTCCTAACAAAGACTTTCCGGGGATTGAATGGGTTTGAACGGAACCCGTGGTGTTTGACTTCCCTGGCCAATCCCGAGTGGCGAGGAGGGAGGAGTCGAAGATCGAGGAGGCTGCCGGGGCCTTTCTGAGCTCCCTCAGACTAACATAGAAGCTCCCAGAAAGCCAAACGGAGCCTAGTCTTCCAAACGGATGGGAGCTTCCATGTTAGCCTCAGGGAGGGTATGTTATCTATATTATAGCGAGCTCATGTGGGGGTAAAACGAGCTCACCATGGTAAAGAACCAAGGAAATATGGTAGAATTGTAAACAATTGCAGAATCCGTCTCCAAGCAGACTTAATAGTTTTTTCCCCGTTGGCGTTAAAGGGAATCTCACTACTTGAAATGGTTGTTTCTGTTTCGGGCGACTTAAGCAAACGGAAGGAACAAGTCCCACCAATGGGCACCCTTGATTAATCTTTGCCATCTGCCATTTCCAGCCCTTTTCTCAACGATGGGCAAGTAAGTCACCAGCGAGGGGAAGTGAAACCAGTCAAACCCCCGGCTACGGATAAATTGGCGGCTTGCAAAAGTTGCAGTCAGAGGTGCAATTCCCGCCCTGTCCCTTGTGCCCAAGGTCGTTACTATGGCATGATGCCGGCTGGTGCCAAAGGCAAAAAAACCAGGGTGAGAGCAAGGCGACCAACATTGACCCCTTTTGATTGCTGGCTTGAGGGAAAATCCAAGGGGCAGAAGCCGATCCACGCGTTGGGTTCTTGGGTGCTCTCGTTGGGAGGTCAAAAGAAAGGAGCCAAGGGAGGCCAACCGAATCCCCGTGAGTCCCAGGCCTTTCTCTGGGTACCCTGGCTTTGGGATGTCGCAAGGTAACTCCTTGAGGTTTGCTTAGAATCACAAAGGCCAAATCTGGTGGATCACAAGAGAATGATTCGTGACCTTTCTAAACCTACCTCAACGTGTCCAACATTGCCAGAACCTTCCTAGACCTTCCGGAAACAGTACATATATGAACTAAACCCACCTGAGCCTTTCTTGCTAAACCTGCCTAAAACTTCCAACGTCTACCCAAACCTTCCTGAAGCTTCCCGAACCTTGAACCAATCTACCAATCTAAAGCTTGCTTGCAAGTTCTGGCCGAACCTGCCACAAGACTTCTAAGCCTAAACAAACCTTCCCCAAAGGCGCCTTAAACCTGCCTGAACCTTCCCAAACCTTAACAAAGCTTCTACCACCTACCAAGCTTGCCTTAACCTACCTTAATCAACCTAAACCTACCTAAACCGCCACCAACCTAAACCCTCCTAAAGCTTCCCAGGCCTTCCCAAAACCGGGGCAAAGCTCTCTCTCTCTCTCTCTTAAACGCCAGGCGCCACCCAGGCTGGCGGGCGCGCTTTGGGAGCTCCCGGCAGAGCAGGCGGGCCGAGCGGGCGGAGCGGGCAAAGCGGGGCGCGGGGTGCCGGGTCCCAGTGCGGTGCCATGGAACTCAGCATGGCCATGGGTCAAAAAGTCTCGTACCACCCTAGGGGAATCAGACCACTCTTGGAGGCGCCCCCAGCCCCTGTGAATAAACCCGGGTTGCTTTGGCCATGGGCCCCCAGATCACAGATCCGATTCAATCCAACCACCAAAATTGGAAGCCTAAAATGGGTGGGGAATTCACCTACCAACCAAAATGGGAGCCCACTGGTTTTGACAACCAGGGGTGGGATGTTTTATTAGATCCCTTTGAGACCCCACTAAAAAATGGGGCAATCAATGGGTTATTTGGCTGTGGGTCAAACATAGGGTAAATGGAAACATGGACGATTCAACCTGTCCCCTAATGGTTCAATTTTGACCCACGCCCATGTGACCTAGGATATATGGCTGTGGTTGTCAAAACCCATGGGATCCCATTTTGGGGCAGGTGCACCACCCACTTTTACTGGGGATTGGGATGTTTAGTGGGGGTACGAGATTTTGACCCATGGCCATATCCACATTAGCAAAATAATACAGTTGTTAATATTGAGTCAGAAAAAAAAAAGGAAATGTTCATGGTCCCAAAACAAAAGCGTCTTTCAGAACCCCCGCAGTCAGGTTCCATGTGGGTGTACAGGAGGGTAACCCCCTTTTGCGTTTCTCTCGTTTTGGGGGTTCCTTCATTTCGCCTTTCAACCGGAAAATTGACTGTTGGTGCCCCGGATGCACATGGGAGTTTCTCAAAAAGCGTTTGGTCTTTAAACAGAAACCAAAAGGGGACTGTTGCCATTTTGGGTAACCACTACTTTGAACAACCCCACATCTATCCCATGCAGAAATTCAATCCAAAGCGAATAAGCGCGGCGGCCAGACTACCATCCCTTGTTTTTGCCAGCCGGCTGAGCCGCCACCCCGACGCCTTTTGTTCGACTGTTCCTTGCCTTTGTTGTTGCGCCTTTGATCTTGCACACCTCAAGCAACCCTGCGTCCATCGGCTTCCTTTGCGACAGCGCATGCATATTTTGGCCTTGCTGGTTTCCGCGCTGTCCCAAAACTTGGGTTTTGCGAGTGGTTCACGGCGGCGCTTGTTTTCTTTTTGCTTTAGGCTTACGGTTCCGCTCCTTTCTCCGCAGGTGGGCCTCGAGCTTTTGCTGTCTGCCGGAGCCTCAAAGCCTCTTGATTCTGTGAGAACCTGCAAAAGGAGCGCGTGGTTGCGATAGAATTGGTTCTGTTGGTTGCCTGTAGGAAAGCTGGAGAAATGTCTGCGGGTGAGGAGGTGGACCATACTTCTCGGGTTAGGCAACATTCTCCATTTTAGTGGATAGAACCCATTCCTTTGGATAGCATGGTCCTCCGGATTAATCCCAAGTTACTATTAGACCAACCACAAACGTTTTTAGAGTGTTCTTCTTCCTTGAATTCTGAATCAAGCATTGTGGTTTTGGATAGCCAATAAACTGTAAGGACACAGCTCTTTATCCGAACGCCCTATCAGATGCCCTCTTCCCTACTTGCGATATTTGTGGAATCAGCCGCAGCATTGATGGCCATCATATGCACGAGGCACCAGAAGAAAGACAAGCGCATCCAAAATCTGGGCAGTTTGGTTTGCAGCTTCGCATTTTGGGGAGGGGAAAGTGGGGTTTTGCGACCTCCCATAGTTCCTTTGAGGGGGTTCCCCTGTCTGGTGCGTGAGCTTGAAGATATCCAACTGAGGCCGAGCAAGTGGATTTTGAACAAACAGGGGGCTACCCCACAACGGTGATTACCAGAAGAAGGGGGTTCGCCACGCCTGGCCAACGAAAACAGGGCTTGCGCATGCATGTCCCTCATTCAAAGCCGCTGGTTGCTTGTCCGGGAAATGCACGTCAGCTAAATAAGTGTTCATGTTCAATCAAAAGACCATGTTCAAAGTAGATGTTTGTCCCGCTCGCGCATTGAAACGAGCAGAGGCACTGGCAGTTGAGTGTTCTGACACATCTGTTTCTAATAAGAATACGTTGACCTTACCCACAGGCTGAGGATGGCAAATTCGCATGTATTAGCTGACGTCACTGATGTACAAGAGAAAGCTCTAGAATTACCCTGAAGCTGCAGTGTGGCTTGCGAATGTCCTTTGCTTGCTTGAGGGTTCTCTGGCATGCTCTGGCAAATTCTGCTGTGTGTTGAAAGCTCGCAAGCGCGTGCACTGACGGAATCCAACGTTCACACGACAGGCTGAGGATGACAATATTCGCATGTATTAGCTGACATCACTGATGTACAAGAGAAAGCTCTAGAATTACCCTGACGCTGCAGTGTGGATTGCGAATGACCTTTGCCTGCTTGAGGATTCTCTGGCATGCTTTGGCGTGTTGTGGCATGTGTTGAAAGCTTGAAAGCGCGTGCACTGACAGAGTCCAACGTTCACACGACAGGCTGAGGATGACAATATTCGCATGTATTAGCTGACATCACTGATGTACAAGAGAAAGCTCTAGAATTACCCTGACGCTGCAGTGTGGATTGCGAATGACCTTTGCCTGCTTGAGGATTCTCTGGCATGCTTTGGCGTGTTGTGGCATGTGTTGAAAGCTTGAAAGCGCGTGCACTGACAGAGTCCAACGTTCACACGACAGGCTGAGGATGACAATATTCGCATGTATTAGCTGACATCACTGATGCACCATAGAAAGCTCTAGAATTACCCTGAAGCTGCAGTGTGGCTTGCGAATGACCTTTTCCTGCTTGAGGATTCTCTGGCATGCTCTGGCGTGTTGTGGCATGTGTTGAAAGCTTGCAAGCGCGTGCACTGACGGAATCCAGCGTTCACACGACAGGCTGAGGATGACAATATTCGCATGTATTAGCTGACATCACTGATGTACAAGAGAAAGCTCTAGAATTACCCTGAAGCTGCAGTGTGGCTTGCGAAAGGATCTCTGCTTGCTTGACTCTGGCGTGTTGTGGCATGTGTTGAAAGCTTGCAAGCGCGTTCACTGACGTTATCCAACATTCACACGACAGGCTGAGGATGACAATATTCGCATGTATTAGCTGACATCACTGATGTACAAGAGAAAGCTCTAGAATTACCCTGAAGCTGCAGTGTGGCTTGCGAATGACCTTTGCCTGTTTGAGGATTCTCTGGCATGCTCTGGCGTGTTGTGGCGTGTTGAAGGCTTGCAAGTGCACTGACGGAATCCAACGTTCACACGACAGGCTGAGGATGACAATATTCGCATGTATTAGCTGACATCACTGATGTACAAGAGAAAGCTCTAGAATTACCCTGACGCTGCAGTGTGGCTTGCGAATGTCCTTTGCTTGCTTGAGGATTCTCTAGCATACTCTAACGTGTTATGGCGTGTGTTGAAAGCTTGCAAGCGCGTGCACTGACGGAATCCAACGTTCACACGACAGGCTGAGGATGACAATATTCGCATGTATTAGCTGACATCACTGATGTACAAGAGAAAGCTCTAGAATTACCCTGAAGCTGCAGTGTGGCTTGCGAATGACCTTTGCTTGCTTGAGGATTCTCTGGCATGCTCTCTCGTTGTGGCAGGTGTTGAAAGCTTGCAAGCGCGTGCACTGACGGAATCCAACATTCACACGACAGGCTGAGGATGACAATATTCGCATGTATTAGCTGACATCACTGATGTACAAGAGAAAGCTCTAGAATTACCCTGAAGCTGCAGTGTGGCTTGCGAATGACCTTTGCCTGCTTGAGAATTCTCTGGCATGCTCTGGCGTGTTGTGGCGTGTTTTGAAAGCTTGCAAGCGCGTGCACTGACGGAATCCACCGTTCACACGACAGGCTGAGGATGACAATATTCGCATGTATTCTGACATCACTGATGTACAAGAGAAAGCTCTAGAATTTCCCTGAAGCTGCAGTGTGGCGAGCGAATGTCCTTTGCCTGCTTGAGGATTCTTTGGCATGCTCTGGCGTGTTGTGGCAGGTGTTGAAAGCTTGCAAGCGCGTGCACTGACGGAATCCAAAGTTCACAGGACAGGCTGAGGATGACAATATTTGCATGTATTAGCTGACATCACTGATGTACAAGAGAAAGCTCTACAGTTACCCTGACGCTGCAGTGTGGATTTCGAATGACCTTTGCCTGCTTGAGGATTCTCTGGCATGCTTTGGCGTGTTGTGGCATGTGTTGAAAGCTTGCAAGCACGTGCACTGACTGAATGCAACGTTCACACGACACGCTGAGGATGACAATATTCGCATGTATTAGCTGACATCACTGATGTACAAGAGAAAGCTCTAGAATTACCCTGAAGCTGCAGTGTGGCTTGCAATGACCTTTTCCTGCTTGAGGATTCTCTGGCATGCTCTGGCGTGTTGTGGCGTGTTGAAAGCTTGCAAGCGCGTGCACTGACGGAATCCACCGTTCACACGACAGGCTGAGGATGACAATATTCGCATGTATTAGCTGACATCACTGATGTACAAGAGAAAGCTCTAGAATTACCCTGACGCTGCAGTGTGGCTTGCGAATGACCTTTGCCTGCTTGAGGATTCTCTGGCATGCTTTGGCGTGTTGTAGCATGTGTTGAAAGCTTGAAAGCGCGTGCACTCCAACGTTCACACGACAGGCTGAGGATGACAATATTCGCATGTATTAGCTGACATCACTGATGTACACGAGAAAGCTCTAGAATTACCCTGAAGCTGCAGTGTGGCTTGCGAATGACCTTTGCCTGTTTGAGGATTCTCTGGCATGCTCTGGCGTGTTGTGGCGTGTTGAAAGCTTGCAAGCGCGTGCACTGATGGAGTCCAACGTGCACACGACAAACTAAGGATGACAATATTCGCATGTATTAGCTGACATCACTGATGTACAAGAGAAAGCTCTAGAATTACCCTGAAGCTGCAGTGTGACTTGCGAATGACCTTTTTTTGCTTGAGCATTCTCTGGCATGCTCTGGCGTGTTGTGGCAGGTGTTGAAAGCTTGCAAGTGCGTGCACTGACGGAATCCAACGTTCACACGACAGGCTGAGGATGACAATGTTCGCATGTATTAGCTGACATCACTGATGTACAAGAGAAAGCTCTAGAATTACCCTGACGCTGCAGTGTGGCTTGCGAATGACCTTTGCCTGCTGGAGGATTCATTCTCTGGCATGCTCTGGCGTGTTGTGGCGTGTGTTGAAGCTTGCAAGCGCATGCACTGACGGAATCCAACGTTCACGCGACATGCTGAGGATGACAATATTCGCATGTATTAGCTGACATCACTGATGTACAAGAGAAAGCTCTAGAATTTCCCTGAAGCTGCAGTGTGGCTTTCGAAGGATCTCTGCTTGCTTGACTCTGGCGTGTTGTGGCGTGTGTTGGCAGCTTGCAAGCGCGTTCACTGACGGAATCCAACGTTCACACGACAGGCTGAGGATGACAATATTCGCATGTATTAGCTGACATCACTGATGTACAAGAGAAAGCTCTAGAATTACCCTGAAGCTGCAGTGTGGCTTGCGGATGACCTTTGCTTTCTTGACTCTGGCGTGTTGTGGCATGTGTTGAAAGTTTGCAAGCGCATGCACTGACGTTCACACGACAGGCTGAGGATGACAATGTTCGCATGTATTAGCTGACATCACTGATGTACCAAGAAAGCTCTAGAATTACCCTGACGCTGCAGTGTGGCTTGCGGATGACCTTTTCTTGCTTGAGGATTCTCTGGCATGCTCTGGCATGCTCTGGCGTGTTGTGGCATGTGTTGAAAGCTTGATAGCGCGTTCACTGACGGAGTCCAACGTTCACACGACAGGCTGAGGATGACAATATTCGCATGTATTAGCTGACATCACTGATGTACAAGAGAAAGCTCTAGAATTACCCTGAAGCTGCAGTGTGGCTTGCGAAAGGATCTCTGCTTGCTTGGCTCTGGAGTGTTGTGGCATGTGTTGAAAGCTTGCACGCGCGTGCACGGACGGAATCAAATGTTTACACGACAGGCTGAGGATGACACTATTCGCATGTATTAGCTGACATCACTGATGTGCAATAGAAAGCTCTAGAATTACCCTGAAGCTGCAGTGTGCCTTGCAAACGACCTTTGCTTGCTTGAGGATTGGTTGCATACACTGGCGTGTCGTGGCATGTGTTGAAAGCTTGCAAGCGCGTGCACTGACAGAATCCAACGTTCACACGACAGGCTCAGGATGACAAATCGAGGATGTGCAGCAGTACGCTCTAGAATTACCTGGAAGCTGCAGTGTTGCTTGCAACATGGCACATTCTTGCTTGGCATGCTCTGGCATTCTATGGCATTCTATGCCATGCATTGTTATGCGTGCGTTTGGTCCGAAGCTGGCATGGCATTTGGCATCCAAGTGCTTTGTATAAGTTGACGCAGGCCACAGACTAAGGATGAGAAGATTTGCATGTATTGTTTGACGGCGCTGATGTGCATCAGAAAGCTCTAGAATTACGTGCATGTATTATCTGACGGCGCTGATGTGCATCAGAAAGCTCTAGAATTACCCTGAAGCTGCAGCGTTGCTTGCATATGGCTCTTCTGACGGATAGGACGCACGAGATGTTCTCGGAACCGTTCTAAGGACCCAACCTAAGGGCTGTGGACGGAGGGCTCATAGATACTGTGGATGGTTGCGAAATCCATTTCGCATCACCTCAGAACCCATAGAATGAGTCGATTCCCCAGTAAAAACCAAGAAACAGTGGTTTCCCATTGTTTTAAAGTGGTGCGAAACGGATTTTGCAACCATCCACAGTATTTCCGGATACCTGACAATAAGTGCAAAGGGAAAGAGCTGAGAAGTTCACGCTGACTGGACGTGACTGGCCTTTCTTTCGCCTTAGTGATTTCACCACCCATCCACATCCACTCTGCCAAAGAACGCCATGAGCCCAAGCATTCGGGACTTTGGGAGTTGATCAAAAATTCGGTCCTTTACATGGGACCATTGGTTGGAAAACCACTTAAAACGTTAAAAAAACCTGATATGTCAACCACATGGGAAAAGTTGCCCGACTGGGGACGGGGGAAAACCTCAACCCCAATTGCTGTAACCTAGATGCTTAAGTTTCTTCTGCAGTTGTCACTGGTTTCGCTTGCCAAAATCAGCCCCTGGCATCTTGTTTGGCATGTAGCTCTGAGGCTCAGAAGTCAGACTGGAGCTACCCCATAGTGGATCAGTCCCGCCTGGGCCGCGAGACCGGGAGTCGTGCCCGTAAGTTCGGGAAGCCAAAGGGGACCTCAACTTTCGTGCATTTTGCCAAGGGATGTTAGGACTTTAACTTTTTGCCAACTAATGGGTTTTCCACTAAACCACTAAAAGTTAGTCACTTTTAGCAGAGCAGCAGAGTTCGCAACCGTGTCAAGTTTCTTCCATTTGACTTTGGGTGGGACGAAGATTTTGGCATAGTGCCCCTTTAGCTCTGTTATTGCCTTTTTGAACCCACCCATATAGGGCTCCTGTGATAGGTCTCGTTCTTAGGCTAGCAACAAAAGGGGTTCCCGATGTCAGGGAACAAATTGACCCCTGTGCAGCTTCCGGACTCTCAGCTTGCAGCTCGGGTGACAGGGCCAGTGTCTACCCACCAGAATGAACCCGAGGCGCGCCTGTGCGTGTGCGCGCGTGCGTGCGTGCGCGCGTGCTTGGGTGCGGGTGTGCAGGTGTGTGGGTGTGCAGGTGTGCGGGTGCGTGCGCGCGGGTGCGCGTGCTTTCTCACTGGCCACCCAGCTCAGTTCTCGTTTGCTGCTTCTCTAGATCCTTGATTGGAGCTGACTACCGAACCGTGGCTTGAATGCGTTGGTTCTTTGGGTGGTCTTGGTGAGGCAGCACTGGTGTGTGTTCGAAAGAGGCAAAGTTCCTCCCAAACACTTTCTTGCTGATGCTCAGTAGGGGATGTGGGAATGAGGGGTCCTCACAGAAGGAAACCAGAAGGGATGGTTTATAAGTACGGGTCATTCCAAAATCCCGTACCCCCCGTGGACATCCCAATTCCCACGAAAATAGGTTCCAAAATGGCTGGTGAATTCACCTACCAACCAAAATGGGATCCCATTGGTGTTGACCGCCACGGCCATGTCTCATTCCCTGAGCACCAGCAAGCTGTGGCGAGCAACCCCCCCTTTAGGGCCCAGGTCGCAGCTTCGTTGGGCACCTGCGCTGGCCTGAGCCGGAGGTCGTCGGCCGGCAGGCTGAACCCATGGGAGGTGCGGGCCGTCCCCCTGAGGAAGTCAAAGACGCCTGGAAGCAGAAAGAAAGAGTCACCACTGAGGTTCAAGCAGAAAGGAATCTGGAACGAAAAGAACAGTCCAACTAGTGTCACTTCGTCTAAAGAAAAGGCCTGGAAAGGAGCATACTCTAGAAACAGATGTCTCTGCCGTTCCCGGATTATGTTCAGGAGAGCAACTGTTTGGGAAATGCTTTACGCAGACAAGAGCCACCCAATCACAGCCCTTGACCAGTTTTGGGCCTAGCTTTTCCTGGCCAAAGGCTTGTCAACTGAGAAAACGTGCGCTGGGCAATCCCGCTGGGCAATCCCTGAACTGGTTTGTTGGTTTTCAGTTCAACTGGCATGTGGTTGCACCTTCGGCCATATGTATTCACAAGGCCCCATCACCTCAGATATCCACAGATGTTGTTTAGGTGAAGCTGTCGTACGTCTATCAGGGATGTGTTGGATGCTTCGAGGTGTTGCTTCCACTGCCCCGCTGGTCTTTTGCCTGCTTTGGCACCTTCACTTGCATGTGCCCATCCCTGAACACTTGTGAATCAAGCGGTGCCAAAAGCGTAGTTGCAAGCGAATACACCCATGCTCCACTGACATTTGCCATTTGTTTGAGATGCGGACTACTCCCCTGCTCAATAAGATACAACAGATTTAATGGTGGTTGCCTGCCGCTGCCTACATTTGCGTTGCGAGGGCCTGAAATGACAACATAATTGGTGGCCTGTTGGGGACACACAGGGAAATTCCCTTTGGGAAGAAACGTTGCTTGTGGCTCGCGTGCAGTGAATCAACCTTTGGACCCCTGGTCTCGCATTTTAGTGATCTCAAAGAATCAACTGCAAGTCCAAGTTCAAATGGAAGTTCCTATCGGAAACTTGGGGTTTCCCCCACCAAGGGCAGGGCAATCGACGCCAACTTGGTCGCGCAACAGTTAGCACTGTCAGCATGTTGACCACACTTGATTCACGTGCCCTTGAGATGTCAACACTAAGTGCAAGAAGCCCTTGGCTCATCATGCCTGATTTCATACAACGCTAAATTATGCTCACAGCAATCAAGAGCTTTCTTTAAATCCCACCCAAGCCTACCATTATCCTGCTCTCAGTTTCGGAAACCCACAGTTCTTAACGCAGGCCTAGCTGTCTGAAATCCACGAAGCTCCTCTTTCATGTCCGGTCTCTTGCTGGGAAATCGTGGTGACCGGTACCAAGATCCCGCCGCCCCGGGCAGGCGATGCGTGAATCGCCATGTCCGGTGCTGTGGGCGCGTGTTTCTCCACGCTTCCTGGTTGGTATCCTGTTGATTCCCTTCGAGACGAGTCTCCTACTCAGACACTCCACTTCACACTTGGGATGGATGATACCCGATTTGAAACCTAGGATGAACCACCTTGCCTAGCGTGGATTTGTCCATCCGCAGTGTTTGGTTATGATGTTAAAACTCAAAAAGCTGGACACAAATCCCCACGTAAACATCACTCCTTGTGTCCATCGACTTTAAACTTTTTGGAATGACCAGTCTAGTGATAGACAGGAAGCTCACTCTCTTTTTTGGGGGAGGCCAGTCCACTAGTCCACTCAGGAAGCGAGTTCAACGGTGTCCACCGCAGGGTCCCGTCAGATTCGCCGGTGCTGAGGCCCCAAGCGCTGCCGCGGGACCAGAGCCCGGGCCGCGGTTTTCAATTGGCTGGATCGACTCTGTTGCCCAGTGGTGCCCAGTTTTTCAACTTTTTGTTGGGTAAGGGTTTCCCTTCAAAACTAGGTCCCCCAGTAGTGCCCTTTTACCCTTTTTTGGGGGAGGGCCCCCTACTAAAATAGACTACAGAAAAAAGAGCACCCTTATTCCAACCTCTCTGCTGGAGGACGAAGAAGTCAAGCAACAAAACAAGGGTGCCTTTTTTTCCCATGGAAATCCACTGGGGAGCCAAAGGCCATCAAAGATCCTGTGCCACGGTGATCAGTGTTTCCCTTAAGGGGCTCCCTCAGATGTTTCGAATGCGCGAAGGGTTGCCGGCAAATTGTCCGGACGCCGAGGCATGCGCTTCTTTGAGCTCATCCGAAGGGAGACCAGGCAGGATGGTTCGCCGATTGGATCTTGGAGTTGAGAGAAGGAGCTAGGGGCCACATGGGCAGGACACAAAACTAAAGAGCTAGTGTTACGCCGTTTTGAGTCTTTGGTTCGTGCCATTTTGGAACACTTTTGTGAGCCACGGCCAGATTCTCCTCTATTCCTATGGAGCCCTGCCTTTGTGCGTGCGAGGTGGCATCAGCCCATCGGCACGACGGGGCAGATCCCGCGCAAGACAGCCTGGACCGGCAAGGGAAAAGGTGGAGATGTGGACATGTACATTGCTTTGCCCAGTGCATTGTGATCTTGACAGTTTGTTTGTTGGTGTTTTTTTCTCGGCGAGGGAATTCTTTGTGGGTTTGCAGTCGTTCTCTTGAGCGCATCCGCACAACCCAGAAGACAGCAAGGGCACCGCCGCATCAGCTCGGCGCAGCTCTACAGTAGAGATGACACCATAGAAAGTTTGTGGGTGCAGTCAGCATTGATCCAAGGGTGGCGCTCTTCTCGCCCCCTCTTGCCTGGTTTGCCTGGGGGACAGCGTCCTGTGATTGAACCCGGCTTGGCTGCTCGGATTTGTTTCTGGCGATTGAGACTAAGATGTTCACCTTGCCTGGTTTGGATTGGTTGGGAAATCGAAGGTAGGCCTTTGATCCCCGAACCACCAAATGGGTCAACCCTCGGACGCTGGCTTTTGGATCCGCTCCTTTACATCAGGTGAAGTCCACAAAAAGCTCAAGCCGTTTTCGGCAGAAAGTCAGTTTCGTTGTGGGGCCACAGACCGGCATCTTTCGTTTGGCAAGAAATACGTCGCAAAACTGCTCCAGAAATGCTGGGACTTGCGGCAATGAGAAGCTGGGCACTTTGTTGGTCTTGAAGTTCGGGACAGGAAAGCATGAGAGGATCCTGGAAGACCCCTGCCCTGGGGCATCCATTTGCAGCCCCTGTGGGGCATGATGCCGACACAAGGAATTCGGTAGTTGATCCGTGGTTCTTGCCGCTAGTTGTGTAAAACAAAGGCCCCCCCAAAGACAGGTAGCACCTTCAGACAGTCCTGCGAAATTAGGTGTGACTGTCAGGCCAACCGTTGCATCCTAGGCTGGTAAGTGACCGAACCCTTTGACGGCTAGAGGGAAGTCGGGATCAACGCCCAAAATTGCTTGAAGATGTGGTGAGCTGCAAGTGTCAGCAGAATGGCCAGCGTGAGCTTGGATGCCAACATATATTTTGGGTCACAGCTGCCCTAAGACCCTTCTGGATAAACTATAGTGACCTCACATGTTGGGGGCTGCGTCACCCGTGAAGGTGTCATGGGTGAAGTGTGAAGATTCTCCAGTGGCACCCTTTTCCCCTTGTGAATGGCCCCTCTTAAAATGTTTTGGGGAGGGTTCCCCTACTAAAATAGACTACAGAAAAAAAGGTGCCCTTATTCTAACCTCTCTACTGGACCCCAAAAAGAGTGCCCAAGATGACTGGTCCATCGTCAGGATGGTGGGCCCTGGCTGCAGCTGTACCTACAGGCGAATATCGCAATGGGAATGTTCACTGAATGTGTGACATGCCATTTGTGTGTTGACGCCATGGGTGTGCACATGCGTGTGTGTGTGTGTGTGGTTTATTGAAGGTATCCTTCTCTTGGTTGAAATGGAAACCACAAGGCGCAGAACACAACCACCACTTTCGGGGTCCCCTGCTTTGACACATACCCCTTTCAAAGGCGCGCCAACAGGCCGTACATTTTGATAAACACTCCCAATGAGGAAGTCCGAAAACATCTGCAGAGAAGCCAAACGATGAGCTTGCCCTCGCAGGCACACTGCCCGACGAAGACCGACCCGGAAGAAGGATCCCCGACCAACTGGCAAAGAGACGAATTCCATAAGAATGAGTTAGCATACAGCTGCCCAATTCCTAAGCGCCTGAGTACCGACGCAAATTCAGACAGGCTGCATGAGTCATGTTCAAGCGATGTGCCATAGGAACACGTCGGCAGTCAAGGTATGTCGTCAGATAGTATCGTCAGAAAGTGTAGTCAGCGCAACACAAAGTGTGCGACAAACTTGTCAGTCATGCATCATGGCAATGTGTTGTCAGAATGCGACCTCTTTGGGTGTGGTGTGTCTCATGGGGGAGGGTTTATCGAGAGGGAGAGAGAGAGAGAGAGAGAGTGTGTGTGTGTGTGTGTGTGTGTGTGTGTGTGTGGGTGGGTGGTGGTGCGTATGTATATATGTATATGTATAAGTATGTATGTATGCAAGTATGTATGTATGTATATATGTATATGTATATGTATATATATATATATATGAGTAAGTATATATATATATAAAGTAGGTATAGAAAAAGTATATGTATGTATAAGTATGTATATATATATATATGTATATATATATATATATATGTATATATATATGTATATATATATATATATATATAAGATATATATATATATATATATATATATATGTGTATATATATATGTATATGTTGTTATATAGTATATATAGTATAAGTATATATATATAAGTATATATATATATATATATATATATATATATAAGATAAGTATATATATATGTTATGTATGTTATATGTTATGTATGGGTATATGTATATGTATATAGTATATATGGCAGGTATATAGTGTGAGGTATAAGTATGTAAGTATATATATAAGTATGTTATATGGGTATATATATATATATATATATATGTATATATATGTTGATATAAGGCAGGTATAAGAGCATATATATGTGTATATGTTGTGTATGTTAGTAAGGGTGATAAGATGAAGTGTTGGTATGTGAAAGGTGAAAAGGTAAAGGCAAAGTGTAAAGCGTGGTAAGGCAGGGGCGTAGCAGCGGAAGGTATAAAGGTAGATAAGGCGCGCTGCAGCTGCAGCGCTGCGCGCTGGCGACGCGCGCTGCAGGCGCTATATGCTGGCATGCGCAGTGCGGCGCTGTTAGCGCCAGCGCCGCGCTGCGCGCGCTGCGCGCGCGTATGGTATGCTGGCGCGCTGCGAGCGCGCGCTGGCAGGCGGGCCATGGGCGCTGCGCGCCGCAGGCGCGCTGCGCCAGCAAGGGCTGCAGCGCTGCGCGCTATGCTGGCATGGTCAGCAACGCAGCAATCTCGGCGTTGCACATGTTGCAGTAGCGCTATGCTATGCGCGGCGTTGCGGTATGCTGGGTATGGGGCTACATAAAGGCATACAGTATAAAGGTATGTTAAGATGTGATAAATAAGAGCAAAGGTATAAGCAGAGGCGTTGGGTATAAGAAAGAGTAAGCAGTGGAGGCTAAGTGCGCTATACATATATATACATATATATATGCGCCAGCTATATATATACCCATATAACATGTATATATATACGTACATGCTGGGTGCGGTGTGGGTGTATATGTGTGTGTGTGTGTGTGTGTGTATATGGTATGGGTGGGTATACCCATACATAACATATAACATACATAACATATATGGGTATGGGTATATATATATATATATATATATATATATATACGGTATATATATATACGGTATGGCGTATATGCGAAAAGTGGTATATAACAACATATACATATATATATACACATATATATATATATATATATATATGTGGGTGCGCATGCGCGCGCGCAGGCGTGCGCGGCGCGCGCGCGCGGCGCAGGCGCGCGGCGCGTATGCAGGGCAGGCGGCGCGGCCCAGCGCGGCGTTATATATATATATATATATTACATGCCATATATAGATATATATATATATATATACATATATATATATATACATATATACATACATATATATACCTAGCACTTACTCATATATATATATATATACATATACATATACATATATACATACATATATATGTACAGATGTATATGATGGAGACAGTAATAAGATAAGACAGATGTTATTACAGCGATACATGATGATATATAGATAAAGAGTTGACAGACAGGATAGACAGACACATACATTGATAATATTATTAAAGCATACATTGTTAATGATGTTGATACTACATACATACATGTAATACAGACATATACATATTATTAAGATATACATAATATACATAAGTATACATACATACATAAGACACATAACCACATACACATGCATGATATACAGATAAGATAGATAGACAGACATTATATAGACATAGAACACGTTAAGCATATGATAAGAAAAGATAAAGATAAGTAAAAGATATATTAAGAGCAGATAAGATATATACAGACAGATAATTTATAGAGGCGATAAGATAGATAAGAGATAAGATAAGACACATACATATATGTGACACATACACACGTATATATTATTGTTATTAAGAGCAGATAGATAGATAGATAGAGGTGAAATATTAAGATAGACAGATGAGAGAGATAAGATAGAGGAAATAGATAGAGTATGATATGCAGATAGATAGATATAGATGATAGATAGATAGAGAAGGTTATATAGATAGATATACATGATAGATATACATAGAGAAAGATATGACAGACATAAGATTGGAAAGGAAACAGACAGATGATGATATATGCATGATATACAGGGATGATGATATATGGTTATTATAAGATAGACAGATATGATGATAGAGCAGATAGATAGACAGATATGATATGAGGCATATACATAGATACAGATAGATAGATAGATATATAGAGTGACATGATATGATATGATAGATAGATACAGATATGATAAGACAGATAGAGAAGTGCTGATAGCAGCATATGAGTGATAGATAGATGGGATAGATAGATGATAGATAAGATAGACAGACAGACAAAGATGACAAAGACAGATGTATGTCTCTTTGCTAAGATACATAAGGCATAGCATACAGCACACAGATAAGATGTTGATACATACATACATACATGTTAATGTTGATATATACATACTGTATGTGATACATAAGATGACATATGTTGATACATACATACATATGATAAGATAAGACATATGCATGCAGATATATACATAGACAGACACGCAAACTTGGGGCATATATAATGATAATACATATATACATAGATAAGATAGATGAGGCGTGAGCAGAGCAGACAGAGAGATAAGATAAGATAGATAAGTGATGATAAAGTATTATTAGACATGAGGACAGCACATGACAGATAAAGATGATGAAATATTTAAGACAGATGTACATAAGACAAGAATGACAGACAGATAAGAGCAAGATATGACAGACAGAGCAGACAGAGTGATACAGAGCAGAGCAGAAAGACAGATAAGACAGACATGATATGAGCAGAGGAGATACATAAGATAAGAGCAGAGCAGACAGACACATACACATGTTAGCAAACATGACATGCATATGAGGATAGACAGACAGATATGATACATAAGACAGAGCATATACACATGATATGATAAGACAGCAGATACATAAGTATTATGATATACATAAGATACATACATATCAGATAGACAGAGATATATACATACATGTTGATATGATACACATATACATAATAGATATATTAAGAGAAAAACATTAATGGTTATGAAGGGTGGCGAAGACTGATACAAGATAAGATACATACATATGACAGACAGATACATAAGATATGATGACAGGCTGGGGAGAGAAGTTGGATGTGTGGTCAGGAGCGTGTAACTAGATGTTTATGATAGATAGATATATATAGTACAGATATGGAAAGATAGACAGACAGACAGAGCAGTATATTAAGACATTATGTTATTACATTATTACATACATACATACAGATACATACATAGATATGATAGACAGATAGATAGACAGACATATGATAATATAAGATAATAATATATAAGATATGATATTAAGATAAGTATTAGCATATGATACATACATTATAATTAGGTGGTGTCTAAATTAGGTATGTCTATGGTTTAGGTGGTACGCATAGCACATATGACACAGCTACAAAGGCTGCGTGGTGGGCGTATGCTGTTTGTTTCTCGGGCGTTATGGATGCGCAAGAGCAGCATGGGCGTGTTGGATGCATGAGGCAGGGTTCAGATGGAAGGCATGGGACATGGTTACATGGGATGCGGCTGCAGTGGCTGTCCGCGTGTCAGGTCAGGTGCCTGCAGGGTCGAGGTGGCCGGTAGTCGCCAGGTGTCACGGTGTCATTAGACTGCTCAAGACGCAGATGTATATATCACAGGTGTCACAGGTACGCAGCTAGAGTAGGGAGGTAGAGACGCACTGGCTGTTCCAAGATGGCCGCCATGGACGCGGTGGCCGGGCGGCGCCGTGTGGAGCCAGGCGCCGGTGGCACTGGGGCGATCCATCACCGAGGCGTGCCGGTGTGTGCCGGTGTGTGCCGGTGTGTGCCGGTGTGTGCCGGTGTGTGCCGGTGTGTGCCGGTGTGTGCCCCGGTGTGTGCCCCGGTGTGTGCCCCGGTGTGTGCCCCGGTGTGTGCCCCGGTGTGTGCCCCGGTGTGTGCCCCGGTGTGTGCCCCGGTGTGCCCCGGTGTGCCCCGGTGTGCCCCGGTGTGCCCCGGTGTGCCCCGGTGTGCCCCGGTGTGCCCCGGTGTGCCCCGGTGTGTGCCGGTGTGTGCCGGTGTGTGCCGGTGTGTGCCGGTGTGTGCCGGTGTGCCGGTGTGCCGGTGTGCGTGGCGCGTGGCGCGTGGCGCGTGTCCTGTGTCTGTGTTCCGTGTGTCCCGGGTGTCCCGGTGTTCCGGTAGTCCCGGTGGGAAGCCCCGGGTGTGGTGGCTGTGGAATGCAGGTCGCAGGCCAGGAAGCCGGTGTGTCACCAGGTCAGGCGGACAGATGGCGTTGTACGTGCGCGCGCGCGCACGCGCGCGCGCACGCGCGCGTGTGCGTGTGCGTGTGCGTGTGCGTGTGCGTGTGCGTGTGCGTGTGCGTGTGCGTGTGCGTGTGCGTGCGGGTGCGGGTGCGGGTGCGGGTGCGGGTGTGGGTGTGGGTGTGGGTGTGGGTGTGGGTGTGTGTGTGTGTGTTCTCAGAACTTGTCGTTGCGGAGGAATGTGTTGTTGGGGCGGAAGGCGTTATTGCGGCAGTGTTATGACAAGACATACAATTGGTTCCACGATGTATCAGAATGCCGTGTCAGCATCGGGCTTTGCAGACGCCTTTGGAATGCACCGCAGGAGAAAATAAGAACTTGTTGAAATGATGGAAGCCGCGGATCAAGCTGATCCAGTGTGGGAGGTGTTACCAGTAAGAAGAACACTCCACCATAGCTGAAGCCAGAGGTTGATGGGCCAGTGTGCCCTCGAATGATGTAGCAAACCGAGGTGATGGTGGCAGGGGGACGGGCGAATTGACAGGTTACAAATCACAGACTCAGTTTGCGCGCTAAAAAAGATGCCGCTGGGATAGACATGCAGATTGGATCCCCACCCTTGGCAGTGTTTGCGGATTCTCGGAGGTATGGCGGCATCGAGGTGGAGCCGGTGCCTTTCCCGGAGTGGATGGGTGAACTGCTGCAGGCCGCGTGATGGGAGACGGGCAGTGGACGCCTCGGGCTGATGGGCTTGCCAATTCTCTACCCAAGATTCCCAGTGAAATAACGTGGAACCGAGGTACCCCCCGCCCAAAAACGAAATGTGGCTTGTTCCGGATGCATGGTAATCTCTGAGGGATGCATGGTAATCTGTGAGGGTGTAATTACTAAAGTTTGGCTGCTCCTTTCGCGCTGGCAGCCAGGGGAAAGAGAATGATCATGGGTCTGCTGTTACAGTTGTCTGAATGGGATAGTCTGCTTTCCTGATTTAGAGGAATAGGGTGTTGAATGTAGAGGAATAGAGTCTGGAACAGTAATGCTATATTATTATGTGTTGTCTTCATAGTGACAACCTCATCATTTGAAGCTGAACTAAGTCTAGTTGAATTCATGTACTCAAATGCACGGGCATATCCCAGTCCAAAAGCAAGGCGGGCGGAGCATCAGCACATCTCGACTCAATTCTCCAGAGGGAGCCCGAGCTGCCGCGAGGTGGTGATGCCTGCCTGCGGGAAGCTGGAGATGCCCTGGGCCTCAGGATCGAGAGAGGCGACGGGGGTATTTTGAGACATCAATTTTGAGGAAGCAATTTTGAGACATCAAGGTTGAGACATCAACTTTGAGACATCAAGTTTGAGACATCAAGTTTGAGACATCAATTTTGAGGCATCAATTTTGAGACATCAAGTTTGAGACATCAATTTTGAGGCATCAATTTTTGAGACATCAAATTTGAGACATCAGTTTTGAGGCATCAATTTTGAGACATCAAGGTTGAGACATCAATTTTCAGACATCAATTTTGAGGCATCAATTTTTGAGACATCAAATTTGAGACATCAGTTTTGAGGCATCAATTTTGACACATCAAGTTTGAGACATCAATTTTGAGACATCAAGTTTGAGACATCAATTTTGAGGCATCAATTTTGAGACATCAATTTTGAGACATCAATTTTGAGACATCAAGTTTGAGACATCAATTTTGAGACATCAAGTTTGAGACATCAAGCTTGAGACATCAAGCTTGAGACATGAAGTTTGAGACATCAAGTTTGAGACATCAAGTTTGAGACATCAAAATTTGAGACATCAATCGGGGTATTTGAGTGAACTGGCAAGTTTCAAAGGGGTGAACTGGCAAGGCATCAATTTGAGACATCAAAATTTGAGACATCAATCGGGGTATTTGAGTGAACTGGCAAGTTTCAAAGCGGCCCACAGGTGGAATGTATCCGACGGAAACCCACGACTAAAAAACCATGGCCGCAATGTAAGGACACTGACTTGCTGGTTCGATAAGCAGGGAATGAGTTGGAATGACCCCCTATGACCCATCTAATTATGGTTTCCTTGAAGGGAATGCACAAGTTCATTCCCAAAACCCTGAGTCATTTCCTACAGAGCACCAGCAAGTAAACTAAGGATTCTGTAGGCCCTCCCCAAAACCTTGGGTTGATACGAACCTCATGACTAAGCCAGTGTGGCCCATGAGGAGAACCACACTTTGTGTATCAAGACAGGGGGAGATATTTGGTGAAAGGTGTTCTGTGGTTGCGTTTCATTGAGGAAGCCCCTCTACGTTTCCTTGCGGCGTCTCTTGCGGCAATTGACAGGAGGGCACCGCAAATCTCGATTTTTTGATTCGGACTCCGTGCAACACGAGCGCCCTTCGCTTCAGGCCCAACTGCCAGTGGCTCAGCCCGGACGAGCGACCAGGTTTGGAGCCAATTTTGAAATTACGGCACTACTCAAGAACAGATGCCCACTCGCTTAGTAAGACCCCTCTACCGATCATCAGCGGCACCGATTTTTTGCTTCCCTGAGTTTCCAAGTTGCTTCCTAAGCAAGCATCAAGGGTGCCCTGTTTCCCAAATTCAGCAACTAAGGCTAGCTTCAGTAGAAGATCACCAGATGACACTGCGGTGCTACAGAACCCAAGACTGTAATTGTGCGGGTAGAGGAAACAACATCGTGTTGTTGTTGCTGTACGCATGCTCTGGTCTGTGCTCATACTCTAACATTGCGTACGATGTATCAATGTGAAAGCCAATATGATCTGCGCTTGCCAGAGCCGCTGCGCAAACACGTCACCAGTGCTTGGTACTTGAACAAGTGTCAAGATTGACCGTTTGCTTAAGGGATGACATGGGTCACACTCACCAAATGCCCCATTTCGAAATGAGGGTCAAAGATTGAATGTGGCTCATGTGAAGTTGCTA